TATCTAATATTTATTCAAAAAGGCAATGTTAAAATCATATAGTCTATAAATATGAAGTCTTCTTGTACAAATAAATGTTAGATATAACATAAATAAATTTTTTTTCGTTAATGGCAGTAAAAGATTCATGTTCTAGCTCTTAATGGTCCTTCTTTTATTAATTTGATATCGAAGAGCCTTATAATTTTCATTTTTTCGACTAATAAAGTTGCGCCTCGCAGTAAATATGTTTTACCTCCAACAGCAAACTTTTGGCAAAGTTCAAACTAGCTAATGAGATTTAACCACTATTACACAGAAAGAAAATAGTCTTAAATCAATGACAGATATTCTTATATATAAACAATAGTATTATAATATTCTTAGAAGATCTTGAATTAAATGCAAGTAATATTTGCATCAATGCAAATTCAATCAAATCAAGACTAAAAATTTTCTGAAAAGATTATAATATTCTTTCTTGTACATGAAAATATCTATAATTGATTTAAGACTAATTTTTTTTCCATATATTAAGTGATTTCCGAGTGTACGTCATACGTTGGGTCGACAATGAAGCATCTGTCTGTATTTGACGAGACGTCCTCAAATGTACCGATCGACGAGAGACACCATTTCGATCGCCGGCATCTCGTCTATGACGGAGTCTATGCAACGTTGCGTAGTTAACAAAAACTGATCGATCCCGGCGGGCGAATTTAGCGGGGACGAACGGAAAGAGAGGGAGAAAGAGAGAGAGAGAGAGAGAGAGAGAAAGTTCACGTTCGGACGCGTTGACGGGGCTTTGATGTGCCAGAAGGGGCTTTTTTCCTGAGCCCCGGTTTCCAAGTTAGCTGCGGGCTCCCGCCCGTCTAGATAACCGGCTCGGGCTGAATGTACGATTCGAGCGAGAGAGCGCGCGCGGCCTGAATATACGGGTACCGGCATGCAATATTCCGAACTAATGTACGACCCACAGCGTGGGCCGGCCCGATGCTCTCGCGCGGACATCGGCGAGGTCGTTCTTTTTAATTTTCATTTTCATTTTCGAGGGATCGGGGTCAACTTCCGGGGCCGTTGGTCGTCTATAAAGGTATCTGTGAAACGGCCCGACCAAGGCCTATCTTGCGCGACTCTCGTTGGCGAGTACGAGAACAACCGAAGAACGTTATTCGATACACAGAAAAAATAATTAGCTCCTACATTTCAAAACTAACTCCCACTGCTAAAAACCAGCTCGCATAGATAAAAATTAGCTGTTCATATAATGTAATCGAAATTTAGTTAATTCAGCTAATTCTTCTTGTCCCTGTGCTTAATTTTTAGCTCCCCCGTTAAAAACTAGGTCTAGTAACAAAATTTCAGTTGTATTATATGGACAGCTAATTCCGTTTTACCATGTAGTTAATGTAAATTCATGTTGAATTTATAGGATCTTTCTCAGTTCGTCGTAAACAGGACATTTGCGAGATCGTTCGATCGTTTCTCATGAAAGTCTGCCTAAGTCTCCACCGCTCGCGTTGATTTTCATCGGAAACTTATTAATTGTTGCCGATTTAAGATCGATTATTATGTACACGGCGCAATTTCGGTCGAGGCAAGTGACAGATAGCAAGCGATCGATAAAACGAGTGACAGGTTGATACCGAGAGTTGTTGCGTCAAGCACCGAAATCCGTGTTAAGTAGAGAAAAAGTAATGTACCACGCCGCGCCAGTCTAAAATTAGATGAACCGAACGTACTGCACCTGTGCGCTGTGCCATCGACACGCCACCCGAGAGCGAGAAACGTCGCTATCCGAATTAACAGAATAGTGAATTCGCACGAGCCGAACGATTCGGCTGGGTATCGAGCGATTTGTTATTTTTCCCCCTTTTTTTCATGGCGCGTGATAGATCAGTCAAATAGGCCAGAGTGGCCACGTTGTTAATTTTTAACGACACGTGTCACCCCGTTGACGGGTTATTACAACATATTGCCGACTGGGATGGAAGTGAAGCGGTTATTAACAACTCTGATGAATGTCATATATTCCGCAACGAGATACTTCGAATTGTTGGCAATTGAATTATAATTAAACATGAAGTAAAATAATAATGCGCGATCGAGCGTTCGCGTCGACATATTCAGCGGCGATTGAAATTTCGTGTATTTCCATTTCGACCTTATCTCTGTGCTCTTTAGCGCGACAGGAAAGAGATTTTCCGCGATAAAACTGTGACGAACTGTGACCGCGATTCCGAATCGACGTAGCTCGCAAACAACACGTCAACTTAATTTCACGACGGTACATGGAGAGTCTGCCAATATCGTCACTTACATTTTGCAGAACGTGGCATTACAACTGGGCTAGGCCACCAAGAGAAATCAATACATCGATACAAATTGATATTTACACGTTGGCAAACAGACCAGCCCGACCGATCGATTGTATTCCGAGAACGTGAAAATATTCCCTCGCGAAGGAACGCGAGATATTACTAGAGAAAACTCTAATGATAAGAATAGAAATAATATGCTATAAAGAGAACTATAATATGCTTTAATATTTTACTTATTGGCGCCGCCTCTACACTCAGTTCCAATACGAGTGAACACTTTTCTCGATACTGTTTCGAATACAGCCGATGCCTAATAAAGGATCTTAATTTCTGGGAATTGCTCAAAAACAAGTTCTATTGAACATTGCACGAAAAGGAAAGATTAGCTTCAGTAGCTAAATTAGTTATAATATTATATATGGATATCTAAAACTTTAGTAGCGTAAGCAATTTTAATTGCTGCTAGAGTTTTATATAAGTATCTATATGATACAACTATAATTTAACTTCTGCAACTATCCTTTTTTTGTGTGGTCATATACCAAAGTACATCGAGGAAAAAGTATTCAAACCATATTAGAACCAAGTATACCAAAAATGTACCAAAAATGTTCAAACCTATTAATCCGTAAATGGACGCGTGGGAGTCAAATTGGGCCAGATGTGTGAATAAACGAATGTTCCTCCGTTTCGTTTTTGTTTGCAACATTGGCGCTTTCAGTAACTTGCCTCCACTACTTATTCTTAGATTTTGCGAAGGAGCGTCAATAATACTCGAGAGCTATAAACAGCACTTGTTTTATTCCTTAGATTGCTTTGACCCCGAAGCGAGCACGCACGTAACCTTCTGTGGTTTAATTCAGCGTATTAACATTTTATTTGTGCCGTGTGAGTTTTACCAAATAACCTTTAGTTAACGTAAATAATAAATATTACAGTTTTGCTTAAAGTTAAAAACTGTAATCTCTTAGACATTTTCATATATTTTATTTACCAAAATAAGAAAAGTGATAAAGAATAAAAATAATAATAAAAATGTTGAAACTTTTGCTGAAATTTTTGCAACTGTATCTGCTGTAAAAAATTAATGCGTACGAATACACATTAATGCGTACAAGCATGTATTTATAACAAACTGATATGATAACATTAATTTCAGAACTATTATTAATTTTGAACAATCATATTATTTAAATGATACTCATATATTCTGTATGTTTACACAGTAAAAAATCTTTCGTCTAAATATTAAAATTTTCTTATATTACCGACTTTTGACTGAAATTTTAATATCAAATTAACACACAGCTTACGTGTTATTATTTCCATGATGTTTTAATGTGTTAAATTTATGTCAATTTAATAATTTGACATTTTTATGTGTCATTTAAAAATGAAACATTACTTTGAGTTATTTTAATATAATTATTTTAGGAGACGAATATTTTTTAAAGTTATTTCAACATTAACATAAGTTAAAATAAATCTTCAATATATATATAAATGTAAAACAAAATGTGTTTGTGTCAAATAATTAACATTTTCAGTGTGTTGAGAAATAGCATATAATGAATATATTATTTCAACACAAAGTTTAAAGTGGACTTCCCAGGACATACGAAAAATGTTAAAATTGACGATTTATTTTTTACTATATATATTTTAGACTGAAATGTAATAATTAAAATTTATTTGATCATTTAAAGTTCCTGTATTGATTGCATAACTCGCAAGCTATGAATTTATTGAGTTGATGCAAAAGTTCATTCCGTTCTTTAACCCTTAAATGCATAGTGTTGCAAATTTGCAATATATTTATTTTTCCACATGTAAAATCCTCAGGAATAATTCATAACGCTTCATAGTTGCATATTTGCAACAATCTGCTTTAAGTATACAGTTCAAAGTTATGCTACAAAATGTCTTTTGTGCATAATGTTACATATTTGCGAGTACGAAAATTTTGAAAATATAGAGAATTTTTTTTACTTAGATTTTTTTAAATATTCTTCTCATTTTCTGGGACTACCTATGAACCTAAAAAAAAAATAATTTAGTATTAAAAAAAAATTCATGCATTTAAGGATTAATCAAAATATACATTTATTTATTTTAAAATACAATCAATCAATTAAATATGCATCGTTTTTTTCGATGACCTATCATTTTTCCGCATGATCCCGCACCCATAGAAATTCTAGAATTTCCAAGTGAAGAATTGATTAAAAAGACGGATCAAACTTTTGCATCAACCCACTACTAACCAAATATATTATACCAAGAAACATGTTAAAAAATATGGATTTTTAATTAAAAAAAATTATTATTTCATGTTTGAAGTACACATGTGTGTTTTGTCTCAGTTTATAATTATTTACAAATAAATTTGACAAATTCTGCGTACGCATAAAGTACAAATAAATTAAAATATAAGTCAAATTGACTCCCACGCAAGAGCGCTCACGTATCCACTTACGAATTAAGAGGCTTCCGGATGATAAAATGTTAAGTGACGTTAAATATCAAACGAACATCGGAAGAAACGCGTTCTTACATGTGCGTCCTTATGACGGATCGATATCTTTTTCTGAGGGGTGCGTAAGAACCACCTGTACGGCTGACTCACCGTTGGACTTCTTTGCGCGTCGCGCTGATCAATATTTTTTCTCCTCTCTGTCCAAGCGCAGGAGAGGTACTCACCCTTGTTCTTGGCCTTGAGATCGAGGTCGACCGGAAAGGGGTCGCCGGTGTTACCGGCGCCGGAGACGGTCGTCGGCGGCGGATGGCAGATAATGTTGGAGGGCTGTAGAGTGGGGGCGGCGGCCACGACGGTGGCCACCGTAGTGGTCGTCGACGAGTTCGCGCCCACGCTAGAGACGCCGTTGCTGTTAGTGACTGTGGTGGTGATCGCCGTCGCGGCGGAGACGGTAAGCGTCGTGACGGTCGCGGTGGTGGCCGCCGACGTCGACAACGGCGAGGTCTGCTGGTAGCCGCAGCATTCCTTCGTCTCTTCCTTAACCTTGACCTTGTGGAGGACCGTCGTCGTCGCCGCTCCGCCCTCCACTTTCATACTCGCGAACCGCGTGCTCACCTGCGAACGACGGCATAAATTAAACTCATTCTGACTTCACTTTACGGAAACCAGCAATAGTTAACCGATAATAATGTAACCGGCGGGGGTATCTGTCCGAGGAGGAAGATAGGATAAGAAACTTCTAAATGTGTTGCTCTCCTAAATAAAAAGAGCGTGTTTGAATTTTCTTCTTTTTGACAAATTGTTTTTTGACATTGTTATATCCTAGCGAATGTACGTAACAGTTAACATTTGTAGATTAGATCGAGGATTAGAAGAAAGTAAGAATAAATCGCTCCCATAGTTGAGGAGAGGGTTTATGAGAGAGGGTGGTACATTTTTTAGGAATACAGTTTTCTTTTGTAGCTAGGATAATGGGTAGAGAGTGGACGTATTCTTTAACTCTTTCCGGTCGTAATAATTGTAAGTATGAGTATTTTGTCGGGAATATCCCGGACTTCGATCGAAAAGAGTTAAAGTATCATTATGTGTTGATTAGTTGAAGTAGATAGAATGAAATGGTCGTATCTTTTAGGTAGGAAGGTAATAGTCGTTTCTTCTTTAGTAGGATAATGAAAAGAGCCCATTTACGCCGTTGCAGAACATATATTTGATGGTCCTTTATTTAGGTCAGAGAATTAATCTCTTTACCTGGGATAGAACCATACGAAGAGTGTTGAAAAAGTTTGGTCGAGAGAATCAAAAAGAAATGAATGAATGAATATAACAAACTTAGTTAAATTTAAGAAATTTGGAATGAGGCGTTTTATTAATAATATTAAACACGAAACGTAAGGGACCGAAAAATTAATTTACGCATTAACAGAATTTATTTTTTGTGTAGATTAATAAGCTTAGTGATAAAGCGAGAAAATCATTGTGAAAGGTACAATATTTAAAAGATAAGACGGTTAACTCTTTAAACACGATGGAAAGTATGTTTTCATATAAAACAGAATTTTATAAATCAGTGTCATCGGAATAATAGAAATATAAAGAATAGAATTTCGACGGTGTTCCTAATCTTAGTTTATTTATTGTAGATTGAAGCATGGTTGTCCATATGTTGGAATTTAATTTCCTAATTCGTCATATTTAATTCCTTGTTTTTTATTCTTTCCATTGTGTCTGAGCCCTAATACTAAAGAGAAGCATAAAAATGACACATATGAGCTTTTAACATAGGAAGGCTGTTTTATTTAGCATGCATACATCAACGCACATTATTGAAATAAGATAATTATTCGAACGGATAAAGAGTATAATAACTACGTGATCGTTCTACTGTCTAATATAAAAAGCACGGGGGTGCCCACCGTTCCGCGAAAATCTATTTACGTCGCCGAAATATTGAATATTAGGTGCCTTCTTCTATCCACCGCGACGTTTCCGCGAGAACGTGCACCTGCTCCCAATCAGACCGGACTCGAATCGACACGAGCGCGACGACGCGCAGAAAAACGAGCAAAGGGACCGGTACACCCATATGCACGTCATCGCGCGCGCGATTCATATTTGATTGATTCCATTTCATGAGCGCCGCCGGCCGCATGTTTCGTCTACGTGCCTGGCGACGGGACCGTCGCCGCGCATACCGATTGCCGTTTTAATGGAATGGACGGACGTTAGTTTTACAAACCAACAAGGATCCGTCACGGCGCGGGAGCACGGACCGACCGCCGGGGGATTATTGGGGATCCGCGAACGCCGTCGTCCATAACTGATCGCGCCGTCATTTTTGGCTGCACTCGGCACGGCCTACAAATGGACCATCACGGAAGGCCTCCGCAAATGTTTCCGCGAAATGGAACAAATGTAGGCGGTGTGTCGAGGGAGGCAAGGATATTGCGAGCTGCTGCCTCTCGTCTATGGAATCGCCACCGGAACCTCGGGTTCGTTTCCCCGTGAAAATTTCATTGGCCGTCCAGCTTCGATTATTTGTCTTCGATATCTCGAATTGAAATCCAGCTAAAGTTCGCACAAAATTAATTAAGGGGTTACACCACCCCTTAGAGCCCAAAATGATAGGTAACTTTATAAATTTTTCTTAAGGAAGGTAATCAATATATAGGAAGATATTTATACAATGTTCTTATAATTACACTTTTATTTACAAGAAAATTTACTAGGGATTTTTTAAAATATTAACAAATATGAAAATAAAGAATAATTGAAAAAAATGTTCCTTCTCCAGCAAATAATTTCGCGACTAAATTATTTATTATAAAAAACTACATAATTTATTGCAAAATCCTTACGTGTTTGTTTGGTAAATTCATCACATATTTAAAAACTTTTGTTTTTTATTCTCAGATTTATGACTTTTGCGAAATCAATTACACCGTGTACATTAGTTGCTTAGTACTTTCGACGATCCAGCGCCTCCATTTTATTTGTTTTTGAAACATAAAATATGTTTTCTTGTGCAAAAGTATAATTATAAGAATATTTTATAAATATCTTCTTATATTGAATACTTTCCTTGAGAAAAATTCAAATGAGACAAATGAAAAAAGGAGAGGACAGGATTAAATGAAGAGTGAAACTTTTCAACAAAATTTCAGACAAATCCTGAGTTCCGAAAGTTTTGTTCTACATCAGCTCTGCTGATTCTCGAATGCTGATTCTCGAATTAACAAATAAAACAACAAATTTTCTTCTTTCATAATCTCTTTATTTATTCTTGTATTGACATTAGAAATTTTTATAGGATACGGAGATTCAAAATAGGTGAAGAAGAAGAACTTGTAATCTTCTGTCCTGTAAACCGTTTTGAAACCAGCTCTTGATTGTCATCTGATTGGCTGAGCGCTCAATAGTGCACGAAAGTACGGGTCGATCGGAAACGCGGCGTGAACTAATAATCATATCTTAACCGTTCGTCGAAAGCTACGGGCGAAATTTCCACCAATGCATACTGATAACTTTGATAACGCCTCAAAGATCTTGAACATTTTGAGAGCGTTGATTGTCGTGATTTCTCGACTGCCGGATATTCTCGTCATAAGCGGGTGACGACGGTCGGCGATTGACGAGGGGTGACTTTGTCCTTCCGAAAGTGCCCATTGTTTTAGGTCTCCCACGCATTGTATACTTGTCCGTGACCTAGTTATTACGTCTCGAGTCAATAAACGTGTATTGGTGTGCGTTGTTTACAATCCGTCGGGTGATTAAAATATTTGACCAGCTCTTGAGATATTTTATGGAGGTCTCGTCGGCATCGCTTTAGCTAACACGTGCTTCTCTGATCGAACCGTATCTTACCGTCACGTGACGCTTGCTCTGAGCGGTGGCCCACGTTATCCCGTTGAACCCAATTTTATTTGTCAAATAACATATGTTAATATTGATCAAAGTATTCATGGTTGTTTCATTTTAGAGCTAAAGTATTAAACTTGAATTGAAATTTCAGTGTAAGCAGCATGAGAGGAACTAGTAAAAATAATGCTCTTTGCAATACGAATTTCATTTTCAACCTACCAAAGCTTTTTTACTTCCGTTTAGCCTTATTATTATATAGTATCCAAATTTAAATTTTCATTGATTATCACACGACTATTACCTATGGCTTTATAAGTTCTTCCTTCTCATCCTTTTTCAATACCCAAATTTTATCGAAATTTCCAACACCAAGAAAAAATAATAAAAGGATTCTGAAAATACGCAGAAAGTTTGTCCTGCTATTGATTACTTAACATTTACTTCTCGTGTATATTTAGTCTGCAATTGAGTAAATTACATAATTAAATGCAGGTAGAATGAGATAAAAGAATATTAAATAACTCGTGAATAAATATTTTTTTTAATTTCAATGTGGAGAAAACGACATTGAGTGACCTTTTGCAGCATCAAGATAAAATAACAATCGGCGTAACGTTATATGTCGAAATTCTCCATTGATCTTGCAAGTATCCGCGGTATTTTCGTAGGATTAATATGGGCTCACAATTTCAACTCGGGTCAAGCCGCAGCTTCTCACAGCCACATGCCGTTCGTCGTGTCCACTGTAATTTTTCTTTCTCTCGCCGCGCCCCGGCGTGTAAATATCGCCAGGATGTTTGCCGGTTGCGAATACGCAGGAGTCGTAAACATTATGAAGATTTACATCCGCCTGACAGGTGGTACCAGGGAGCAATGCTGCGCCGCGTAAGCGTCTTGCGTTCTGCACGTAACGCGGCGGCGTATTTAGCTTCTTTCCTCCGCACTCGCTCGCTCGCGCCTTCTTCTTTATCTCGTGCTTACCTTGCAAGATCTCGTTTCATATTTATTACGGTAATCGCGTTGCTAGGACTTTTACGAGCACGGTGCTCCACGCCGACAGCTACGTCCGGCATTAAAAGTAGTGGAACCGAACGTCCGCTATTTTTTTTCACAATACCGCGGGAAATTACGAATGTAATGTATAAGTGCACTTTCCCACGAATCCCGAGTGGTACGATTATATTGGAGTCGAAATTTTGATGCTACTCTGACGCTCTTAAGGATAGCTTACACTAGCTCAAATGGTCTACGCAGAAAAGAAAAGTGATCTAAATTCAAGTAAATAATTACTCCAATACGCCTTAGCAAATGTTTACTTGGATTAATTAAATTTTACTTGGATCAAATACATATATATATTTTTTACTTACATAACTTACTTGGAAAATATTTTACTTTGGACAAATAAATAAAAACGATTATTCCGTTTACTTTTCTTCTTTTGAAAAATACTTACCTTCAATAAAGAATATTTTCTTGATAATAATTTTAAAATATGCTCATCACAAATTTAGAAAAGCTCATTATGAAGTATTCGGAAAAAACAATTTTTTTTTTCCAAAAATATTATAAAACTTTATCGTAAGAAAATTAGACTCGCTTAATTTAAAAATAATTTAAATAAACAAGTTAATTTTTGTTTTAATTTATTCTCGATTGAAATACTACACTTATTAGGATTCAACAAACATTTTTAATAAATTTGATGCTTACAATGAACTTGTGTGATATGTTTGCAAATATATATAAATTTTTGA